TACGCATTCAATGCGCCACTACGATTCTGAATGGAAGTCGAAAGCGGGGCGTATCCCTCACACGGGATTGATTACCGTCAAAATTTTACACCTTTTTATTACGGAGGATAGGTCAAGTTTTGACAACACGTGCTATAACAACTGCCATAAATGGTTCGTGACAACGGTTGAAGAGTTTGTTTCACATAGACAAGAATTAATGGCTAATGATAGCAACTGAGAGAAGGATGGATGGCATTGGGTTGCGCAAAGAAAGGCTGATGGTTGATGAAGTTAAAGGAGAGACGAAGATTCTGTGGATTTCCCGTTGAAATGGCATTGATTCTAGTGGCGGCTATTAATTGTGAACTCGTATCGGAGACCGGAAAGGGAAACAGCGCAACGCCATCGAATACATAGCGCTTGAAATTCGATTTTTATCGACAAACTTTCATGGTTTTCTATGGGCAAACGAAAATAGCCACTACTATATTCAATTTAAGTGATTGAATACGAAAATTGTCTGCACTTGACAGTCTCACACGTATTTGAACTTCATAAGAGTACATTTCATTTTCTTAGTTAATTACCATGAGAGCAAGAGTAGCCTGCCCTATAAATCTGGAATATTAAAAAAATATGAGATGTATTTGGAGAAGTACGCCTGCACGTGAGCATGTCCATATATCTGCGTAGGGGAGCAAAACTTGTAACTTTTCTCCTTCCTCATGAAGGATGTTAAAACTTCGTGGAATAGAAACTCCGCCACAGTGACATCAACCTTACCAGCCATACCTTACCGATCCTGGGCAATATTGGTTTCTTGCCGAATAAACGAGGTAATCCTCCTTCTACTACCCTTCAGACAAGGAAGTTCCAAATTTTGAAGCAGAAAGGGATCCAGTGTGAACTTTGCCCTAAAGACAGGATAAAGTTTTTGGGCGTCAAACAATCCCGTCTGAGGGATGCACCCCCGCACTCGACTTCAATTCAGAATAGTAGTCGAGGATTGAATGCGTATGTAGCCCATACAATGACCTTCGGTGGCCAGCCAATGTACAATTCAGTGTTTTTACCTCACAGACGAGTTTGGTGCCAATTAGCAGACCCCGAAGGGATGGAAAGCTAGGTTGCCCTGGGGTTGCTTACTGTTAACCAATCTTCCAGATTTCTAGGTACGTTCCTAGGCATCATGTGGGCAGGTAGAAAATGCCGAATCATATACAACACTGATGACCACTAGAAGCCAACCACTTTTGGGTTCAGGGGGTATGTAGTGTGAGTCTCTTATTCCTTGGTTGAAACTACCTATCATTCCGTTCTTAGTGGAATTACTTGTGCGAGTTCATACGCCATCCGGTTGTTACTATCGAATATGTGTGCGCCATATTTCATGGCAACGTCTCGATTAGTTTCAAAGTTGTACTTGTTTTTAGAGAACAAAGAAAGTGGTTCTAGCAATTTTTACAATGCCTCATTTTGATCGGCAAAGAAATGCCATTAAATATTTCCCACTGAAACGAATACCTCCTACGAAATTGTTCAGAACGTGTCCAGGAAATAAGAATAATCGGGCATTGGGGAAGTAAGACCTGAACAATCAGACCAAAATCGCTTAAAAATAAATGCCGCAATAACCACTTTCTTCCACTGCCGACTTATTCTACTGTGAACTAACCAAAGAGTTCCTTCGCCCAGACAAACTGTCAAAAAAGAATGTATGCTGTTGGCCTTTGCGGGGAAGACTTGGATAAAGTCTTGAGGCGTTAATCAATGCTGTCTCAAGGATGCGCCTCGCATTTGTCATACATTCAAAATCGAGTGGCGTATTGGATGCGCATGTGGCCTATATGATTTGCGGCGGCCAGCCGATAACAAGTGAGTGTTTTTATCCTCCCAGACATCTCTGCTATCAGTTAGCCGACAGTTTGAGTTAGGGATGGAAGTCTTGGTTGGCCCAGGCGGAAATTGATCCGGGATTCGAACCTGTGACCATGAGTGCATGTGGTAGTGCGCCATTTGCCAATACACCACCTCAGCCCAGGTGATATCGGTAGAGATTATTAATTTTACAACGGAATTCACTTCAGAATCCACTCAATGACAAACTATAACTTATTGTAATAGTATATCGAAGGAGAACCAATGTCAGCAAGACCAGAATCAGAATACCGCTGATGTTTCAGAGGTAACCCTCAACACTTCCTGGTTCCTTTCGAAAAAATGGGTAACACAGATCTGATGTAACATGTAGATTTAGCCATGGATTGGCACTCATTACCAACGGATAACACAACTCAGCGCCCTTTAATGGTAACCCTGCAAATGCGCTACTTGGGCAGGATAGAAAAAACGATTACTGATTCCAGTGTTCGAGCTAATCATTGCGGGGGACATCAGGGGTACTGTTTGGGGCAATGGGACACTTACATGACCCAATTCACTGCCTTTATCTGGGATATACAAGTTTTAAACAAAAATGAGGGGGTGCTTTGCTACTGCTGGAGGATTTTGAGCTCGTCTTACCTTAGGAACAGTTTCTGTAGAGCATTCGGTAGTAACTATCAAAGGAGCCACCAAACTCCGAATTAAAGAACCGAGCACAGGTAGATTTTCAAATAAAAAAGTGAAAATGTACAGTACGACGTGGTTTTTTTGCATAGGATCAAAAAAGTAAAGGAGAAGAGGAATGGGGCGACCTCCTCGGACAGATCGCATGATAACACATCGTCGCCTTAGGTGAAATCGGTGTCCCATGTTTTCTTTTCATGT